TATATAATATATATCATATTCCCATTTTGCAGTCTGTCATGTTCTCTTTGGTTTCTTTATGCTTTCCAGAAATTAAAGACAATTCTGATTTACTAAGCAAGTACCATAAAGGATTCTTTATGAACGGGAAGTTTCTCTGTTGCAACCAGACCTGTAAAGGAGCCCCTGGATGTACAATTTGGGAGAAATGTAATGTGTTCTTTTATTTGCTTGATTAGACTCATTGGTGGTTTTCACTATATCGTCAAATCACATGGACATTTCAAGCAGTGTAATCAATACCAAAGCTAACCTACTTACACCTTTCCATGTATGTGCTAAGCTCCTTTTAACTTTTTAGCTGCTTTATACTGTAGCTTATAGTATAACCGGGGGAAATAACACATGCAATTATGTCTGCTGTGTTTGATCAAAAAGTTAGTGACAATTTTACCTAAAAAATAATCCAGATGATGGAATTAGTTTTGTCCTTATTCTTAAGATCTCTAGCTAAATTGTAGTATTACAGTGTAAGACCCTTCTAGTGATGAGGTTCCATATAAGCTGGATGAGCAGGAACAATACAAGTTCAGCACAAGATTGTGTATGGATGAATTTAAATCAGTACAATTTCATAACTAAATAGAATATAAACTCTTATATTCATATAAAATCATATGAATATTTTTTTTTAAACAATGTGATTTATTTTGCAGCTTTTTTTTTTATTTTAATGTGTTTTTCTAAAGATTTTTCATAGAACTTAGTCACAATTATTGAAAGAGTTTAGTTTTCAGATGCAAAGGCTGAGAGAGGAAAATTTGTGAAGGGATACCCTCCTGGGTGTCACATATTCAGAAGGTAATTCCTTCATGTCTGTGTACATGCTTAACAGTGAAAGGCCATGTTTAGGAGAGGGAACAGCGGTTAATGAGTCTTTGGGTTTCAGCTTTTTAAAGCTTGATTATTTGGAATTGTAGAGCACTGGCAGATACACTGATTTCAATCAAAATTGAACCTTGGTCTTACCATGATGAAACTTTAGTCTTAAGCATTTACAGTGACAATGAAAAAACTAGGAACCCAAAATTAAAACTTAAATCAAAAAATGTAGGTGTGAGCAGTTAGGAACATGATTTAGACCTCTGAGACTGCTTGTAACAGGCATTTGATTTTGAAAATTGAAATTGATATATAAGCTTATCTGCTGTTACTACATGTTTCATCATTATGAAACACTAAATAATGTAAAGAGTTGTCAGCTAATTTGTAAAAGTAATTTGTATACCTTCATCTAGCTTCAAAACCACTTCTTAAAAAGGCAAATAAGGCAATGAATCCCCAGTTTGCAAGGAGAAATAAATACCTCATTAGCAGTCATTATGGCTTAGCCAAGAGAACAATTAAGAGAGTTTTCGTAGATTGAATACTTCATTTATGTGCATGCAGGTTATTGTGCTGTATCTCCTCTAAATTTGGCCCTAAGTAAGATCCTGAGGTTGCTAACAGAGATGTGCAGTGCACAGGAAGGCTTTTGAATAGGGAATATTCCAGACAGCCTCAGCCTTGGAACCACTGGGCAATTGAAAGCAATATTTCTTAATAACTGCTTCATAGACTGTCAATGAAACAATTTCAAATAAAACAGAATAAAAATAATCATGCCTGTGTTTTGCTCTTTATGCAATCAAATAAGCTAGCAGAACTGAGAAAACCAGAGAGCTAAATACAACCGCAAATTTCCCTGAATTTCTATTTTGGCATAAATGAAAAAAATGGTTGATGATTGTTTTTTTTAAAGATGTTGAGAGTGCTTGAACTGAGAGAAGGTTGGAAAATACAGAGCTAAAGAATGTCGATACCTCAGGGAGGTGAAATGTCAGGTGTCGTGATGCTGTTGCTGCCACTGTATAGATCTGCAAGTGAAAAAGCTTCAAGAGATAAAGCCTTACTTACATTCATCGGTTTTTTCTTTAAATCTCCCTCTCTTCTAGATGTGACTTTGTGTTGTACAGCCGGGTCTGTGAAACCACTGCCTCCAGCCCCTCAAACGCTGGTAAGTGTAAATGTTTGAGTATCTGGCAACAGGGGAAGACCTGGCATCCAGGTGGTAGGGAGGGCTGTGGGATGGGATGGAGCATTGCAAACAGCCACTCACTGGAAGCTGGTGTAGACCTCTAATCCGCAGTGCAGTTTCAGCATACTTGTGTCCACTACCGTGTCAGAGGGAAGGACTCATCTCCCTCCTCTGTGTGGCAAACTGGGAAAGCCTCAACCAGGTTCAGTTCACTTTAACATGCCGGTGGCAGTATAATGGCTACAGCCCTTGGAGGGATGTCTTATTTTATACACTCACTTCCAGTGGGATCAGGGAACGCCATCAAAATTACCTCCGTAGTATGTAGGAGGTCCCCATTCCTAGAGATGCCAAAAACTCCCCTTCATCACCCTCGTTAGTGAAAATGGTGCTCATAGTACTTGGAGAAAACATTGTAACTGAAGATGTGAACAGATAAACCTGAATTTCATGGGTAAGAGATGGTGGATAAACTGAATTTATCTCAGGCAAGTCCCAAGTTGTGCTCCCCTGGGGTTGGGTCAGGAGTACAGATGCCTATTTAGGAATGTTTGTTTAGCCCAACTGTACAGATGCAGCCTCTAAGCTAATGAATTGGGAAGTGCATCTGAGCTCTTTATGCGCTTGTGCCTGTATCTTGACTGTATATCAGACAGAAACCTGGGAGTGTGGTGTCCCACCAGCACCCACTGTCCTTCTGAAAAAGTCAGGCTTTCACAGACACAGAGACAAACAGGACACCAGGATGTCAAAAAATTACTAGTGCTGAATCCAGCCCGAGTCTACTAGCACAGTAGTTGCTTGATGAAGAAGGTCGAGTTGGCAGGATAGAGAATAAAAATAAACTGGAGGATCTGCTTCTATACCTATTCCTTCATCTAACCCCTCTTGTAGAAATACGAGGCAAGTCTTTGACCTTAGTTTTACAGTCCAGCTTAATTATTGAGGTTTGTAAATGGGAAGGATGTTACAAGGACAAGAGAACAGAATAGACCACAGTGGCTTAAGTTATGATGGGCTTATCTCTTAAAAAAGGACTAAAAGCATGGTCTGACTGCATATTCACACATTGTTACACAGCCTCCTCCAAATTAAACCAGATTGAGTTTCAAACTATAGGATTTTAAAATCTGTATTTCCTGCTTTATTTTAATCTGTTTTCCATTCTGTATCTTTAGAATACAGTCTGGGTCTATTTCCTAACATCTGTCTGTTAACCAGAAAATAACTTAAAAAAAAAAGGAAGAATGATGGAATTTTTATGTGTACAATTGACATGAACAGCCAAGGCTTTAAGAGACATGTAGATTATCAAGAAAAAGAAGATAAAATCATGAAAACTGTAAAATGGAGCTTTAAGAAAAATAATAAGAAAGCCTTAGAAAGATGCTATGAACAAAAAAGCTTTTGACATTTTTTTCTGACAATGGGATTTGAAAGTAATAACATTGCGAACAAGGAGCAGCATAACTTGTTTTGAATACCGTGGTCTGTTTTGCCTGGTTTCCATCAGGAAATGCTTTGTCTATCTGGAGAGATCATCACTCATGCAAATCTGCTGAACATGCTGGCTTCTGCCAGGCCTTTATGATTTATTTTTATGATCTGCTTGAGTTCAGAGAAGATATTTTGAAAGGGAAATTTAAAAAGCAGGGACATGACAGTTTTCAGATGGGTTTCAGTAAATGCAGATACAATAACTACCACATCTGGTTAGAACAACTTGACTTCTTTTTCCCAAGACACGATACAATCAGGTTAAGAAGGCTAATACTGACTTCTCATGACTTCTATAAGCACTCAGCACACTTTTTACTTTGCCCCCTTATACCTACTCAGTTTGACCATCGCAGGTACCACTGTACCTCCAGCCTTCCTCCCACCTACCTCTTGGTTCACGTCCCTCACCTTCTCAGCCTCTGCAAGTTTTGCTCCCTCACTTTCTCCCCAGCTGACCAGAGGCATTACTTTTGCTGGGAGGCAAAACTGGCCAGAGGCATTACATTTTGCATGGAGGCATTATGTTTGAATGCTTACGTCCTGCACCTCTGATGCCTCTGTTGCTTTCCTCAGCTCAGCATTATACCTCTAGTCTCCCTTGGAGCAGCTGGTTCCTAAAGAGTGATGCCATGGCAAAGAAGAGTGGGTACAAAGGTCCATCCACGGGAACCAGTGGACACTTCCCCAGTGCATTGATAACAGCAGGGGGCAGGAGCTTCCTGCCTGAGAAACACTTTCGCCTTTGCTGGAGCCTGGCACCAGCTGCCTTCATCATGGAAATAAGTTCATGCAGGTCAGACCAATCCTGCAGTAGATCAGATAGAAGTTCACTGAGCCCACACACGTATCAGCTCATAATTACATATTGGACAAGTTTTATGGAAGCTGAAGTGACACAGCACATGCTTCCAGATGTAGGGCAGGGGTGCAGTTCTGCACATAGTAACTGTTCCCCGTATGCACAGCAGCTAAATCTCAGACTGTCACCTACGTCTCTCTCTAGATGACTGTGGCACAATCATCAATACAAAAACCCCAGTAATATCACTGGCAGCATAAAGGAAATAATAGATCCACTCAGTAACTCTTAGGAAATGCTCTAGGGCTTTTAGCCGGTGCTGGAAATGGATAACTGTACATATGGACACAAATCAGGACATTAATCTGTACCGGGTTTCAGGTAAGTGTGTGCAGAATATTGCAACAGACAAATACACATCCAGCAGTCAAACCCAAAGGGATGCAAAACTGATGTGCTCATCTTTGGCTAGTTCTTTTCCCTGGCAGGTTGGACAAAGCAAAACTCATTTTTGTGATAATAATTCTTCATATCATTTACCTTCGCCGACGCTTTGCAATTTCTTCACACACACACACAAAAAGATGAAAGCTCCATCAGAGGATGACACTCTGATCATTCTACAAGCAAAACACAGAAAATCAAGAAAGAACAATTTAACCTCTGAAAATTACCAAGACCAAATACTAGAGGTGCACATCAGCACATAAATATATTTTCTGAATGTCAGCTTTCTCTAACATCACTAGATTCTTTAAAGAGAAAACAGTTTAATCTCTGTATTATAATTTCTTTCATCTTTGAAAACTGCAGGGAACTCTAGTTCTGTCATTATTGCTGGTTGGTCTAAGACTTGGGTCCTGCCTAAGACAGGCCCTCGAGCTATAAGCTCCTTTCTGCTGGTCAGATATGACCAACAGGAACCACCCTCACTGGACTCAAGCACTGATGAGTAACTTGATGATTAATAGACCTACTTCTAGTCAAATGAAGAGGACTCTGCTGTGAGTGATACCTCTTTAAAGAATGAGTATCTTCACGGGAGCTTAGTAAAATCAGATTGAGAGTTTGTGTGTCTTCTGGCTCAGTGGATTCACTCAGGCATTCACTTGGTTCTTTGGTTTCTCCATGCTTAAATTAAGTAAAGAAATGTCAATAAAGAGAAAACAAGCAAACATACAATGCCATGGTCACTTGGACTTGACTTAAAGGAATCACATCCTGCTTCAAGATACTTGGCATTCTTCCCTGCCATTGCATTACAGTGGTTTTCAATAATAAATAGGCAGCATTTGGAGTTTTTTCTCCTAAGCCTTTCTTATTTTCACTCATTCTTCGCTGTCAGCATTTCAAGTGCAGTTTTCTCTGCTCTTAAAGAACTGTGATGCCTGGATTTCCTCAGTTATGGCATTTCCCTGATTTCTAAATGCATTTCAGTGTCTTAACTTTAGATGCTCTTTTGCCCATGATTTGATTGATGTCACCTAACTTTAATGCCAGACTTCTCATCCAAGTCATTTGTGTAGACCTCCTCAGCAATCAGTGATGAGAGGTAGACATTTCTGTAGGATGACATATTTCATAGGAAGACACAGGTCAAAGCTAATTAAGAAGAATCCCATAGTTACGTACCTGTGCTTGTTCAACTCCGCACAGGGAAAGTTAGGCACCAAAAGTGTGATTCCTTATATCCAATAAGTTTAGCAGAGAAACATCAATAAACCCCTGGTAAGGAAAGGGAATTATTTAGAATTAGCACAACTTCTTGCTTTCAGTGATTAGGAGTAACAATGGACTAATATTTGTTGTGCTTCATGGTACCATTACTATTGATAAAAAGCCATTAAAAAAACCTCCAAAGTTATTTTATAATACTACGATGGGATCTTTTGATAGAACAGGGCATAGTCAGAGTTACAGTAAAGCAAAATTTGGCCATGTGGTATCCAAGGCACATGGATCACAACAGTTCATTAAGTAGTATCAGCTTCCGATAGGTGGAAGGTTTGTGATACAAATCAAGTCTATCTCGTAATCCTGGTAATAAGAGCTTCCTATTACAGACATGTCAGCCTCTACTCAGAGTTAATTGCCTCTGGTGTCATTATCATGGAACTTGGTTCTGATCTCACCTGTCTCACAAACGTGGACCACACTACCTGGGCTGTGCTTCTAAATGCGTGAAGAAAAAGCTGCTTGTCTGTGCACATATTCATAGGTTTGATTAACTTGCCTAATATCATTATACATGTTGAAGATATAAGTAATTTTGTACATGTTGTGATATTTCTTACCGTACCCCATGCTGCATCTCCTTATTGTTTTATTTCCTCTGTGTTCAAAAGCAGAAGCATAGAAACCTGCCTCAAGTGCTGTCACCAGACAGGTCAGTCCTGAATATGGCTGTGGCCCAATACAACTATGATCCCAAGAGAAATTCAGCTATCCGTCTTGTCAGAAGCAATAAATACTATGTATTGCAAGAGGAAGATTCTGACTGGTGGAAAGTAGGGGATTTGGAAGGGTAAGTATGCCCTACAGAATACTTTTGTTCCATGACCATGGTCTTCCCAATATCTCATTCATAGATACCACTGCAGGCAGTCCTTGTACCATTCAGGATTATGATAGAATTATCTTAGTAGCTTTTACACGTTGCTGTAGAAGTCTCATTGTCTTTTATACAACTCCATTTTCATAAGAAACCTTGGCTGCCAGGTTGAGTAGGATTTACAACAGCCACTGTCTAGTACGCTAGGTAAGATAGTATCCAGTGGCCTGAATTTTGATATGTGCCTGAAGAAGGGCTTGTGTACACAGAAGCTATAATTTTTTCCCAACTATTTAAGTGAATAAAAATACAGTAACTCTCCTCACAAATGTTGCCTTTCTTGTACGCACAAACCATCTTTAGACCAACACCACAGCATTGCTATTGCAACAGCAGTAACAACAGGAAAGACCAGTGAGAACTGCTGAGGCACGAATCACTTATCACTTCAGCCTCTCGCCAGCTTTAGCAGTACTTTTCCACAAAGGCAGGGCACCCCTATCCTGCACATGATTTAATTATTCTCTTTGAGGTTCACAAGTGCAGGAATTCCCTTCAGCAGTATAAAATAGGGTTTTTTCATTAATATCCAGTTGGGGCAGAAAAGAGCATCTCTTCCAAAGCTACTAAACCGGAGACAAAGGCAGTGCAACAAACAGAAGCTCCCTGGAAGAGTTAAGATTACTTGTCTGTCTCGTGATGGACACAAGCTGAGTTAAACTTTATATCCTTGATAGAAATGTGGAAGGGAAAAATTTTTGAGCTAGATGATGCCCAAACTGGTTTGGAACAGAAGGAAATTTCTTGGTCTGCTCATAATTCACTGATTAAGTTTACAACTGCAAGAAAAACAACAAATAAAGAAACCTTAATTTAAGATAAACTGTCTGCACTTTATAACTCACAGGACTGGCATACAGTTCTGGGCAAAGAAATCAGCACACAACCCTGGCGCCTCAAAGACAGTAAAAAATTAGTAAACCGATATATGCTCCTAAACATTTTCACTGGACTCTTTATGGTTACTAAAAGCATATGATACAGACAGCTCTGCTTATAGAGGGCCCTAAGATAAATGAAAGAGCAGAGAGATCAAGAGAGAGGGGAGACATTTACGTTACTTTCTTTGGCTTGAGAAATTGAGACTTTCGCAGCATTGATTCTGTAAGGACAAGCCATATATACATGATACAAATATCTTTAAATCCTGCTTGAAAAAAAATTAAGATCTGATGTGTGATCCTACTACATTCAAGAAAAAAGTTACTTGTTTCACCTGTTTTCACGTGCTCTCAGTTTTCTTCTTGCTCTACTGAGATATGTGTCAGAAGAAACATACACTCTATTTCCCCTATTTACTTTTCTGATAGGTACAGCATACAGCCTCCCTCCTTACAACTACGACACCTGTTAGCCCCCATAATTTGAGTCCATCATGCCATGCTGCCAGTTGCTTTAAGTGGTAGCTCAGCTGCCCATATTCACTTAGCTTAGTGTCTCAATTGCATCTGGCATTGTGCCAGGAAGAGTGCTGAGACTGCCCATTGACTTTCTGAGGTGGAACTGGGATACTCTGCTGGCACCCACTAGTCACAGGTGTCCTTCATCTCAACAACTGAGATGGCAAGTAATGAAATTGTTGAACAGCTGCTCCAATCTTCCATATGAGGAAGCCAATCACTGAGGAAGAAGCCATTTAAATCACTAGCAAAAAGAGTACTTAATGAAATGTAATTTTCTAAAACAAATTAATTCCGTATTTTTCTACATGGTAAGTAAAAGCAGAAATGTTTTAACCATGAGCATTTCTGTTAGCGGCATTCTAAAAAGGGAAACTGATTAATCCCTTTTCCTATTTTAAGTGACCAAATTTAAGATGCAGTCATGTATGATAGCTAAACTGTGAACCATTTATTTTGCAGGAATGAAGGTTTCGTACCAAGCACTTACTTGAGAAAGTTATCTCTGAATGATGATGAGCCAAGGTGAATCAATATGCAGCAATCCACTGCTTAAATGTTTTCATCACCACTCTAGTAAAGATAAGGCAATATTTCTGGAATATTTTTCTTTTTAAATAACTTTGAGTACTAAGCATAAAGTTTCCTGAAAGGTATAGAATCAGATACAATTTGTCTTCTTGACTCAAACATTAATGCAAAGAACATCAGTTGAAAATCCTGGTTTCATTTAAATCAATAGGGGTTTTTCATTTACTTCAGTGATGCTGTAATTTGAATCCTGGTGCTCTTATTTCAGCACTAGATCAGCCTTGCTAGAATTTTTATGCCTTTGTAGGTATGCGAGTAGTCTTGTACAGGGTAAAGGGAAACCAGGTCTGTCATAGTGATGCATCAGATGCATCTTTTTCTTTTAAGTAAAATGATAGAATGGTTTGGGTTGGAAAGGATCTTAAAGATCATCTAGTCCCACCCTCCTGCCATGGGCAGGGACACCTTCTGCTACCTCAGGTTGCTTAAAGCCTCATCCAGCCTGGCCTTAAGCTTTTCCAGGGACAGGCCATCCACAGCTTCTCTGGAAAACCTGTTCCAGTACCTCACCACCCTCTCTGTGAAGACTTCTTTCTGATATCCAATCTAAATCTACTCTCTTTCAATTTAAAGCCATTATCTCTTGTCCTGTCACTGCAGGTCCTTGTAAAAAGTGTTGCGGTCCCTGTCCCCAGCTTCCTTGTAGGCCCCTTCAGGTATTGGAAGGTGCTATAAGGTCTCCCCGGAGCCTTCTCTTCGCCAGGCTGAACAAGCCCGACTCTCCCAGCCTGTCCCCATAGCAGAGGTGCTCCAGCCCTCTGAGCATCTTCGTGGCCTCCTCTGGACTCACTCCAACTGGTCTATATCCTTCTGATGTTGAGGGCTCCACAGCTGAACGCAGCACTCCAGGTGGGGTCTCACAAGAGCAGAGTAGAGGGGGAGAATCCCTTCCCTCGACCTGCTGGCCACACTTCTCTGGATACAGCCCAGGATACGGTTGGCCTTCTGGGCTGCCAGTGCACACTGCCAGCTCATGACATGACATGATAAGCATTAAATATATACCTAAGAACTTGAATGAAAAATCTGATAGAAACAGCAGATTGCCTCATAGTAAACCATACTGGACAAGATTCAGAGGTTTCTTTTAAAAAAAAACACTACCCTTACAGTACCCTGTAAAAGGCAGCATACATAATCATTATTATTTCTGCACAAGAGGTTACTTTAGAGGCTTCTTTTTCTGCCACATGAACTCCTTCTGTTGTCTGTCTTGCTAAGAACATTTATTTATTTGGGAAGTCTAGGGTTTTGCAGTTTTGGAAATCTTCCATGTAAATTTTGAAAATGTAGATGCAATCTCTTGATAAGGTCACTAAAGGCATATGTACTTTCTTTGCCTGTTACAGCATGCACAGAGAGTATTTGGCTTTCCAACACATTTCACAGTGGAGGGGAAAGGGTGTATAAGTGTTTATCTAGTCATAACAAAATCCAGACAATTAAAAATGTCTCAACTTTTTGAAATATTCACCTTAGCCCATGGCATAACTATTCAGAAATATATGGAGTATTACTTTTAACTCAAGGAAGGTATTTTTCATAACTAGTTTCTCACAGTGTCAGCATGGTTTTTGTCTTTGCAGGGGAAACTCCAGTGTCAGTGAACAGACAATGGCAGAGGAGCAGAGTATTGCTGAGCATGAGTGAGTATATAGAATATGTCTTCATGAGAATCAGGGATTATTTGGGCAAGGTTTGTTTTTCTACTTACATGTCCACTATACCTAGAGCAATGGTATCCTACTTATGGCTGTCATAATAATGATAATAATTATAGATACTATCATCAGCAATATCACTGCCCACAGATTTCCAAAGGCATGAATGTATTTGTTTTGAGACAAGAAAAGACATTTAGACAAATCAGTCATAGCATGTCTCCTCCACTTAGGATCTCTCAGTTTACTTAAATATTGACAAGATTAGAGGAGAAATATACACCTCCCAGCTTTTAGGGAGACAGCTGTGTCATGGTCTGCAGGAGACAGAGCAAACTACTGGTAGAGCTCCTGGCAAAGCATTAGAGCAGCAGGAACATCCTCTAAGGATTTACCGTAAAAAGTTAGAGTCACAGAGTGGGCCCAGATATTTCAGGAGGAGACCCACTAGATGGATGAGAGGAAACAGATGGGAACTAGTGGTTTCCCTTTTATTTCACGGCCTAAAATCACATGTGCATGACAAGTCCCAAGTCTACTCTCTGGCTTTTAAAAGCAGTTTTGAATATACTAATGTCTGCCATTTTTCATATACCTGCTTTGCTTTATTCAGAAATAAGCCTGTGAATCATAAGCCCAATATTTCTCTTTGCAGTTGGTATGCTGGTAATATCTCCCATGCCCAGTCTGAGCAGCTGCTCCATCAGAAGGTTCTACATATCCTTTATCACTTGTATTTTAACAACCATGGAAATCTTTCTGAGTCTGTTGTCTTTGCTTTACTGTGTAGCTAGAGGATGCTGATGCTCTCCAAATAGTATTACAGCGTGCCAGAAATTCTTGTGCTAACTTGGTATCTACAAACAGGTGTCCAAAAATGCCTGAATGGGTTAATGACTCTTCTACATAAATGAACAAATGATGGACGTCTAAAATGTGGTTGGAACAAAGTCACACTGGGTGCATTTCCCCCCAGAGCTCTGCTTTTTGGGTTTAACCCTAGGCCTGTGTTATTTGCTCCAGTGTGGCTCTATCTGCAGGTCAGTCTGGAGGAATCCTCTGTGATGGTTTTACAATACACAAATGCGGAGTAAAAGTTCACCCAGACAACTCTGAGCAAACTCAGTGCTATGGCCTCTGAGTGTTGGCTGGATGCAGCTGACTAGGAGAGAGGATGGATAGCACTGTAGGAATAGTCAGGTGTACAAGTCTTTACAGCCGACGACTGCAGTCGGACTTGTTCATGTACCTTTCTGGATGAGACTCATCCTCAGCCAGGTTTTGCACTTGAGCGTGCTGTGTAAACAAGTTTTCCTCCTGTGGCTTGCTGCTTTCTCACAGCCAGTCTAACTGGTACTCAGCCACTAACAACTTCGATATAATCCAAGACTGTGGGACCCTTGGCTCAGCGTCCTTTCTCTTAGACCTGAACCATAATTTCGGGAATGAAATTCAAGTGTGGCAAATCACTGGAGGAAGGCAGTTATGTACCTGTCCCAAAAGGTGTGGGATACTCCTGGCTCCAGTTAAGTTTAAGGGGACATGAATTTTCTTTTGAACTTCACAGTAATGAACCTTGGCCTTCATGTGCGGTTCTAGACGTCTTCTTTCCTCCCTGCAATAGCCTAGCACATTAGTAGGGTAGCTGTTAATGAACTCTGAAAAACAGAATATCCAGCCCAGTATGGTAAACTATTAACAAAAGTAAAAGTGGATAGTGAAAGTTAGGACTGGAGTACCACATAGAGACTAAAAATAGCATAAAAACATAATAGAATGTCATGAAAATCTTTCAACTTATTCAGTAATTCAGAAATACTTTGGCAATAGAAAATATGTCAGTCTAATGCATTATGTAAAGGAACTGAATGTAGTGGATAAAGCTCTTATTCAGATGGGGTGTATGTGGTAGTAGTGTTTGAGTCTTACAATGTGTACTGCCTCTGGAGTGGACATGAGGAAGGAGATGGGGTTAACAAGTCTCCATCTCCCCAGTTATAAATCTGTATCTGTGCAACAAAACAAAATTGCAGACTACTTGCTTCATGTCTGGGCTGGGGTACATCACCTAATTTTAAATATTTACAGTGGGATACCACAACCAGTTACCTAGACCCTTTTTTTAGTGGAGAGAAATAAATATTTCTAAGGCATAATCCATCTTGTCCTAGTGTAGTCCTTAAAGGAATTCACGAGTCATGTCTCCTTCTCTCCTTTGTGGGTATTACAGTGTAAAAGTCTGAAGTTCAGTGAAATGAATCTCAACCTCACAGTTCCTAGTAACTGGTTTGTTTGTTTACTTGTCTGTTTTAATTAGGGGAAAGAAGGTGCTTTTATGGTTCGGAAATCTAGCCAAGCAGGAAGGTATACTGTGTCTGTATTCAGCAAAGCTTCTGAGTGAGTATTCAAAGAATGTGTACCATGTCTATGAGTATGCTATGGGCATGAGCTTGGTGCGACTGGTCAACAACAAAATCTGTACATTGTGTTAAAGGTGAACCATGGGCGAATTCAGGTTGTATAAGTTATTTGAATTAATAAATGACAGTGGCTCACTGAATGGGGGAAGTGAGGTCCAGAATTGTCTCATCTAAACATAGGCATGTCACGGGCACATAACTTAGGGGTATAGCAGAGTCTGAAGAGTGAGAGACGAGGAAGGGAAGGGGAATGGGAATAGGAATGCAAAGAGAAGGTGATCAAAATTAGAGGTAGAACCATTGCAAGGGCAGTGTACAGAAGCTTTCTGCTCTAGATGTAACTGTTGAGAAACAAGTACTAGACATCACACCACATTAGAGCATGCAGCAGGAGTCTCCAGTGTGCTAGGAACCTGTACTGCATAGCCAGCAGATGTTAAAGGGAGCAAAGCAAATGTAACAGTCTTCCCTGTGTCTTCTACTACATATTTTGTTATTTGGCCAGCTGGACTGTTGCAGTTCATTCAGCAAGTAACTAATCTATAATGCATGGGCTGGAAGGCACTTTGCAAGGCTTTGACGTGCACTGCATTTTGTGATGTTTTTCAGAAGTAAAAAAGGAACAGTCAAACATTACCATATTTACAAAACCCCTGATAACAAGTATTACCTCGATGAAAATTACTGGTTTGAATCAATTCCCAACCTTATATACTACCATCAGCACAACTCGGCCGGTAATGCTATATGCTCTTTCTAATTGATTGGCTTTGGCTTAGGCTTCTGGACTTATAAGCATTATGGTGAATCTCTTCCAATACTGAATACTCTAAATATTGAAACATCTTTTGGGAGAGTTTGTTTGGAACTTGTTCTAACATATTCACAATCAATACAGTTGCTTTCCTTTGCTGTTCACTCTTCTTAGAACACCTCTGCTGGACTAGCCCTTAAGCATAGAAAACTTTCAGTCTTGTGGAGTGATGCAGCAGCTGCTGAATACTGACAATCTGTCATTACTTGGTTGGCAGTGTTATGGCAGGGAGAGGGAGGTATTTGTATCCCTGTATTTTCTTTGATTCAGAAAACTCATGTGTATATAGTGACCTTTAACAGGTTTTCTTTCTAGGTATGGTGACAAGACTCCGGCATGCCGTGTCTACACAAGTAAACAAAGTCCCATCCACAGCTACATTAGGAAATGGTATGCAGATAACTTTCCTTTTTGAAACTGATGTCAGTCTTGGCCACCACGTGAAGAATAATCACACAATCGTGACTCTTACTGCTTTCAGGCTTACAGGAGGTTACAGAATCTTTGTTTGGTGGCTATTTCTGCTTGTGCATGCAGGAGGCAATGTGAAAATTTGGGAAGGATGGCCTTTCAGTCAATAGCACCTCCTGTAGTTTCCTCTTGCCCAATGTAGCATTCAGACTTTTTGTTCCATGAAATAGGGTTTTCCTTCCTACAGATGAATATAGTCTACATCCAGGATAATGTGAATGCAAGGACATTCTATATCAACTTTTATGTTGTGTCATTTTTAAGGTATTTTATGTCAGGTCTTATATCAACTGTGCAAGGTGTTGCGTGCTTCCTTCCCCAGCACATCTGAGTCATGGCCATTCTTTATCTTTGCTACATTACCTGGCACAGTAATACTAGTTCTCCAGTCTCCTACATGAAAATATATCATCATTTGATGCACAAATCCTTCTCAGATATTTTTATAAGCCCTAAGCCTAAGCAGCAGCAAACAACACTTGTAGGAAGCGTAGTGTTCCACAACTCAAGCACAAAGCTGAGACACAGGTACGTTGCTTCAGTGCTGCATGGTTCTGTAACCCTCCAGAAGAAACTACAATATTGCATGTGGGAGATACCAGGGGATACCATATTGTATTTATCCATTTGTGTCGTCGTCCCATCCTTTTTTTTTTTTTTTTTTTTTTGCCAAAGGATTTTCTTTTGTCCCACTAGGAATCTGGGAGCTGAAACGAGAAGAAATTCTCCTGTTGAGAGAACTAGGGAGTGGTCAGTTTGGAGTGGTGTATCTGGGGAAGTGGAAGCGACAATATGAAGTGGCCATAAAGATGATTAAAGAGGGAGCAATGTCAGAAGATGAATTCATAGAAGAAGCTCAGACCATGATGTAAGTTAATTATTGCTTAATTATTTGGAAATAATGATCTCTCCAAACATTAATCGATAATGGATTACAAACACAGGAAAGAAAATTTCCTCCTAAAAATAGCATAAGTAGCGTTGAGTAACATTAGGCACAAGATACATAGGCAGCCATATTGAATATTTGAAGTATTGCCAAAAAAAACTTGACAAGTATTGATAGTCACATACAAAGTTTTCAATTAACATCTCTTCCACAACTTCAGAGGTTCCACATACGTCACTTAAAACTCTGCTTCATTAGCATTTATACAGAAATGATTAGAAAGCTGTTCCTGCTCTCCTGCAGGTAGGAATGAGAGACAGATTAACTAAGAAATGCCAGAAATATGAACATGAGGCTTGATGTTTTAGTTTCTAACTCTGAAGAGGTAAGGGTGTTAAATGAAATTCCATGAGAGGATAATTGAAGCATACAAATTCAACAATATTTTGCATATCTCATATCCTGAGGGAATGCACCACATTCTTGTCACGTTAACTATCTGATATGATCAGGATTCTCAATGTGAAAATTTTGCAACATGGTTTTACTAGAAAACCCTAAGGGCTAAGGTCCACCCCACTCAGTTCTATTTTCTCCTACCAGTAAGGGGAAACACTTTTGTTTTGCTGCTAAATCCTATTTCAGGTTTTGACTATAAGGTTGTCATTTCATCAATACTGAGTCATCTTTTGATTGCATCAATACTGAGTTTCAAAGTAATCAGCAGAAGGACACTCAATTCTTCTTGAAAAGGAATATTTGAAGTCTGACATAGGACTGCATCCATTCTCAATAATTTCTTTCAGTGCGTTGTATTAATATTTGAAGAACAAAACTTAGAGAAATACACAAAAATCTCCATTTATAGTTTGATTATTTTATTTTTATTTATTTCAGGAAACTTAATCATCCCAAACTTGTTAGACTGTATGGTGTATGCTCAAAATCATATCCCATCTATCTTGTTATGGAACACATGCCTAATGGCTGTTTGCTTAGCTACTTACGGAGTCACGGGAAGGAACTACAACCCCTTCAGCTTCTGGAAATATGTTATGATGTTTGTGATGCTATGGCATATCTGGAGAGCTGCCAGTTCATACATAGAGATTTGGTAAGCTATCCCATGGGGGAATGGGAACGGGGACATTCACAAGTCCATGGGGCC